GTTTTTTAACTAGGATGGGGTGAGAGACGGTGTCAAAGGCCTTGCTGAAGTCCAGAAAGACTACATCCACCGCGACACCTGCATCCATGGCCTTTGTGACCTGATCGTAAAAGGCAATCAGGTTGGTCTGACATGATCTCCCCCTAATAAATCCATGCTGATTGCCCCTGAGCAATCAAGTGGAGAGCGAGGGGGCAAGAACCTGCCAGGGGATTTCCCTCCACCTTGAGCAGGAGGGAACAAAAGCCTGGCAGGGGCTGCCCACCCCCAGGCACGGAGTGGGGTCCAAAAGGCTGAAAGAGGCTGCACGCCCCAACCCCTCCCCACCTGCCTGAACTAGAGGGCAAAGGACTGCCCAACCCTCCACCAGGCAGACCCCAGCTGGGGTACTGTGTGGGCCAGGGAGGGGGGTTAAACCCTCTTTCCCCGCTTCAGTTCAGTGTCTGGAGCCAAAAGCAGGGATAAGTCTGGCAGGGGTGCCCTCCCCCCAGCAGACCTGGGCTGGGGTCCCATGCGGTCAGGGAGGGGGTTCCCCCCTTCCCAGCATGCTGGCCTGGGCTGGGGTCTGGCCACGCCCCCACCAGCTGGAGTAGGTATGGGGGAAAAAGCCTTGGAGGGCTTTTCTCCCAGCCTCCATCACTTCCTTTTGGCAGTGGCTGGCAGGCCAGGGGCCATGCTCTAGTATCCCCCCCAGCTTCTGGCCTGAGCTACTGCAGGCATGCGGCTGTATTTCCAGAATCAAAAGTGAATGTGTGTTCACTTGCTTCCCTGTTAATCTACACAATTTAGACTAACCTGTACAGATTGAATCAATTCAGCCTCCAGCTTTTTGACTGTCTGTACTTAGCCTTAATGATGCAGAAGGAAGAGTTAGACTTGTATCACATAGATAATGAATTGTGTTCCAATCTATGAGTAATTAGGGAGGGTATAAACACTCCATTACTAATAAATGAGTAGGTAATTTTAAATAGTCATGCCCACATAACTTGCACCAAAATGTTCCAAGTTATTGAAAGACATCTCTAATGTGCTGAAACTAAGTTTTAATACTTTTTAGTAAATCTTGGAATACTCGGGGAAATTCCCAAAGACAGTGAGAAGTTAACTCTATACCAGTATTCAGAAAGATCAAAAAAGATCACCTGGGTAACCGTAGGTCAGTTAAACTGACATCACTTGTGGCCATTATAAGGGATACCAAAAAAGGGGATTCAGCTAATGAAGTATTCTGGGGAGCAGCGAATCAGAAAAATGGTTAGGGATATAGTGGATGAATTCTGAGCTTTACCTTCACTTCAGATATATACTTGATTTCCTTGCCATGTCCCCCATCTCCCCTCTTGCCATACAATAATGCCCATCTGGAACTTTTGCCCTAAACCTCCCAGCTCTCCTCCTTATTCTCCCTTCCATCCTGAAAAAGCAGAAGTGGCTCCTTATGCCCTGCTGTTTCCTCTCCTTCCATCCAGAGAAGGACTGAGTGAGACATTCAGCTACCTGCCTGTCTCAGTCTTTACTCTTGTTGAACAAGAGTGCTGCAGTAGTTGTTCTGTAGTTTTTTTTTCCTGCCCTTTTTTATTTTTTCTTCCTGTTCATAATCTCTGCTTTCTCTGGGGAATTAGGATTTTCAACCCCTATAAACATGCATTACCCAGTAGGCTAAGCAGTCTGTCATAGTAGCAGTGCCATTTTGCATTCAGACTTTTTTGAATAATTGTATATGAATATTTGATTTACTAAGCAAAAACTGCCATCCAAGTCTCTTTTCAGTCACTCTAATTGGAAATGTAGATGGCATGTATAGGCTGATTTGTTCAGTAAATATATTTGATTGGCTGAGTGTGGACTACAGAGAGGAAGTGATAGCAATTCAGATTTTTTTTTTTTTTGTAGAACTGTACATCTGTATTATTACGGGATGGTAGTATTAGAAGGAAGTTGCAGGGGTTTTTTTGGTTTTTGTTGTTTTCTTTCAGGGATCCCAAAGTAAAAAAAATAGCTTCTGCTTTCCAGTTTCTTCTCTTGTATTGTCTTACTCTACTGACATTGGAGAGAGGAGCTTAGAAGTCTTCTGTGGAGTACAATAGCAAGGTGCTACACAAATAAGATTTGTTTCCCTCTTAACTGCAGCTCTCTCTGCAGGTAGGGGTGGAGGATGAACCAACACAAAAACAGAAAACCATAGTGATCTGAATTCTGTGAGTCTCTCTCTCATAAAAGTTTAAAACTTTGAAGAACTTCTTAATTTCTGTTACCTTAGTTATATCACACTTGGAATGTATTTTTCCTCCCTGCCTCTCCTATCCATGCCATTGATCTCTTAACAGCAGATTCCAGTAAGTTTCCCCCAGGTGATTCTTCCATTGTAGGAAGTACTTATAACATTTTTCTTGGCGTGCACAGATGGAGCCCAAGAAGGAAGGGAAGGCATGAAGCAGCTAGAACATCAGAAATGAGCAACTATAGGAGACTTGTGGCATTTTTCCCTACTCCTGCTTAGTCTTCCCATAGTTATCTGCAAATCTAATGTCACTGGAAGATGTCTGTTATCCTTAGTGCCATACGATCCCTCCGCATACATTTGATACTATGCTGCGTGTTGTTGGACCCAGTGGCTTTCCTTATTCCATGTACGTTTCTAACTGGATATATCTTTTGCGTGCTGGTGATAAATCAGGATCTTCTGCAATTCCTTGCTGCCTAATACTGGCTGTGGCAAATAATTATGTCAACAGCTTGAGAAGTATTGTAGAAAGTCTGCCCATGAATTGAGATATAGCGAAGAAAAGCATTGGAGACCAAACTAAGGTAATTTTCAAGATCAGGGTTTTAGACAAATAAAAAAAATTGATTTTTGTTATTCAGTTGTTTATTTTTTCTTCAAAAGGGGACACATCTGAAGGCCAGTCAGTCCTTAGGCAGATAATTTGACTTGTACTGTAGTACCACCTTTTTGTCAGAAGATGGTGCAGCTGGAATATTTAAATGATCAAACTTCTAGTTTAAGCTTTTGTTTTGTTTTGCAATCAGAACTTACTTGAAGTTTGACAACTGTCACATACAATTGTTAAGTCATTTCTAATCAGTGCTGTAAAGTTCTCCAAGTCTTTAGAATTTTTTTGTAAATAATGTAGATTCAGAGGTTTATGGACTTTTTTTAGGCAGAGTACTTTAGGTACGAGGTCGAATTTTCTTCAAAGCTCTGTCATTTCACAAGGGTAATCTTGTTACTCAGACTTTCAAGGTGTTGAATCAGAATTGGTATTTATAAAGCACATTGGGATCTTTGGATGAAGAGCAGTCCATAATTGCAAATGATGCTTGTCCTCCTAGAAACCCTGGCTAAAAGTGTATGCTTTTTCCTGATTTTACTTCTTATTCCTTTTGTTGTATATCCTTTTGACTGAGGTTAAGAAAAGAGGTGTTTTAGAATATGTTTTGTTTTCTTAAAATTTCTACATATTTTAGGGTGCTTCTGTATACATATCATACACTTACAGTGAGTTTTACCTTTTTATCTAGTCAGCCAATTTAATACTTGGGAACGGAATTCTTTGTGCCCCATCTGAATGGAAGAAGCTACTGGTATGATTGACTGTTTTGGGGCAGGTTTATTATAATCAGTATGGGTGTGATCCTGTGAAGACCTCACTCCTTTGGATGTCAATAGGAGTAGAAATACTTCACAGGTTGTCTGCTGAGGCTCATTATTTCAGTTTTGAGAGGACACGTACAGGTACAAACTCCATAAAATTCCCTAATAGGAGGTGCGTTGGGAGCCTCTCCATCAAACAGAAGACTGCAAGTTTAGGCTTTGTTCTAAGTTTTTTGGGGGTTTAGGATGCCAAAAGTTCTGTTCTGAATACTTTGGCACAATTCTTTCATTGCAGTACATTTCATTAAGATTAATGGATAGAAATAGTGGGATGTTAAAATGTATTTCCTCAGGAATGTGTTTCATAACTTTGAAAAGGTCAGGCTGGTACCTTCTCTTGATCATTATGCTGCTTGCAGTGATCAGCCACCCACATCAATACTCAAGATTATTACATTCTCTATTTTTACATAGTTATGACCTCTTCTCTCTTTTCCTAACTTTAGCCGAGATCTTGTCTTTGCAAGAAATAGGTGTAGTTGATTCACCCAGTCATTGGATATTGATATTAAGGGTTTTCTACCCTCAGACCTGTAATGTATGTACTGCAACCTAAATAATTTGTATGGCTCTCAAAAAATGCAAGTTTACATACAATCTATATCTTTTTTTTCCAGCTACAATCTATATTCTTTTTTCTGGATGCTTATCTTGCTGAGGTGATCTGACCTCAGCTGACTTCCTGCCCCTTGGGCAGGGGGCTGGACCTGATGATCTTGTGAGGTCCCTTCCAGTCCTAATGTCTATGAATGTGAGGGCTGTGTATTTCTAATAAGATTTTCATGCACCACTTTGAGACTCTTAAACAGTTATGTAATAATTTTCACTGGTTTTGGTGCCCTTTTGTTATTAGACTATACGAATTGATATTTACTGATCTACTCTATGTAAATATTTACAGCATATGGAACTGAAAATTCTTCCTAAGAGGCAGTAGCCAGGTTTCAGCTGAGTTGATCATTCGGCCTGTTTACCTCCTTCATTTTCATGCATATTTTATTGATGTTTTCCCTGTACATTTATTCTAAATTTAGTTTTGGAGTGAACAGAATAGTTTGACTACCTTTTTGATGGATTATTTCACAAAAATGTTTTTATCTTGGGGAAATGTTAATTATTTAATTAGCATGATTAAAATACCATGTTTACTTTAGAAACTTCTTAATGTCTTTTTTCTGATTAGAACTTCCTCTGTCTTATTATATGGGTGGAAGGATTTTTTTTTTGTAATGTCATTTTAAAATCACAAATAATGGGTTACCACTAGTCATGTCTGGAGATAGGATAGTTTACTTTTAAATGACAGTTTATGCATGTTTCCTAAACCCTTCCCTTACAAGCCTTTACATTCAGCCTGTATTTGTAACATGTCAAACAACTCTATTTTCCTAATCATTTCAAATCAAGCTAGCATGATTAATTTAGTAAGTTTAGGGAAAAAAAAAGTGAATGTTCTCATCCAAAATGTGTGAGACTTAAAAATGAGTATGACTTCTTTTTCCCTTAGTTTAATATTAAAGAAATGTTGTTGTTTTTAATTCTCTACAGATGGAGATCTTATAACGATTTTTGATAGCTCAGATCTTTCCTTTGCAATTCAGTGCAGTAGGATACTTAAACTGACGTTATTTGGTAAGTTCTGGCTAATGTTTTTCATATTACTTGTATATGAAATAATATAAATGATTCACATCTCTTACCCTATCAGGAACTGTTTATGATTATAAAGATGTAATTAATTTAAATATTGTGTTGTCCGCTGAAATTCTTTAAACTTAAGTGTCACTTAAAAACAGCAGTAAGGAAAAGTAACTAAAGGTTTGTCTAATTTAATTGATAGTCCTTCCCTTTTTTCCCCCCTGTGTATTAACTTAGTTCTTTCCTGTTTGTGTGGGTTTTCTGTTCAGCAAAATAACGCAGAAGGATATTTTAAAATAAGAAAATGTGGTTATAAAAGTAAAAGAGGGATAATAAATAGACATAGGACTGTAAAACTACTTTTTACTCCAAGTTGAAGGTATTTCAGGTGTACCATTGTAGGAAGGTTGGGCTAGAAGAGATTTCATAGGGTCATCTAGTCCAGTCTCAGGCCCAACTAAACCATCCCAGTCAAATGTCTGTCTAACCTGCTCTATCCCTGACATTTCCAGGGATGGCGAATCTGCTAGGCAGCCCGTTCCAATGTTTTATCACCTTCATAGAGTTCTTCCTAATCTCCATCCTAAATTTCCTCTTCTGCAGTTTGAGGCCATTGTTCCTAGTTCTGTTCCCTGCAGCTACAGAAAAAGTCTTATCTCCTTCCTCTCTCTAATCATTCTTCAGATACTTAAAGACTATTATCAAATTCTTCCTCAGTCTTCTCTTCTCCAGACTAAGTAATCTTTTAGTCTTTCCTCCTACGTCACGTTTCTCAGACCTGTAGTCCATCTCCCTGCTTGCAATCACCTTTACCTCTTTCTAGGTGCTTCAAAATGCATGATTTGAGGAACTGCTCTATGGTCTTTCAATGTATCGAGGTTATACTGACTGGTTTGTAATTCCCCAAGTCCTCCTCCTTCCCTCTTATAAAGATGGGAACTATATTTTGACCATTCTAGTCTTGGACCTCACCTGACCTCCAGAGAGGATAGCCAGTGGCTCTGAAATTACTTCAACCAATTTCTTCAAATAAAGGGTGCATCTCACCTAGTCCTGCTAACCTGAAAGCATTTAGCTTCTCCAAGTAATCTCTAACTTGTTCTTCCACCCTTCTAGGCTGTTTGTCTTTGCTGCCAACTACACTGGTCATCTGGTAACTGACTTTTATTTGTACAGTTGAAGTTAAGAAGGTGTTAAATACTTCAGGCTGTTCTGCATCACCATAACTAGATTGCATTCTTCATTCTATAAGGGATCAGTGGTTTCTTTGGTCTTTGCCTTAATTTTGATATCCTTGTAGAATCCCTCTTTGTCTCTTGCATCCCTTGCCATTTGCATCTCAAATCATGCTGTGGCCTTCCTAATTTTCTCCCTGTATGTCCATACAATACACTTATACTCTTCCCTAGAACTATCACCAAGTTTCTGCTTTTTATAGGATTCCTTTTGGAGTTTTAGCCCCTTGAAGAGATCACTGGGCTGGCTCAACAGCAATCTTTTGCACTTCCCATTTTCCATCACATCAACATAGCTTGCTCCTGTGTCCTTAATATGGCCTCCTTAAAGTACAGCTGGCTTTCCTAGACTCCTTTTCTTCTCAGACTTCCTTCCCAGGGCATCCTGCCCATCTGTTTCCTGAGTTTGTTGAAGTCTGAAGTTCAGTGTCCTTTATTCTGCTGCTGTCCTTCCTTCAGCCCTGTAGGATCTTGAACTCTATCATTTCTTGGTCACTGTCACTCTTCCTTCGCATTCTCAATCAGTTTTCTGTTTGGGAGCAGGAAGTCAAGAGGACCTTCCTCTTAGTTGGCAGCTCCACCACCTGTACCAAAAAGTTATCCTGAATATAATCTAAGAATTTGCTGGACTACCTGTGCACCGTTTCCCTGCCAGCAAGTATTGTAGTAATTAAACTCCATCATTAGAAGTAAGCCGTGCAACTTGGAAACTTCCTGTAGTTGTTTAAAAAAGACTTAGTCTACTTGCTTTTCTTGGTTTGGTGGTCTGCATAGCAGATGCCCATTGTGATGTCTCTGCTACTCTCCTATCTGATCAGAGCCTTCAAGAGGCCTACTTCACTGTGCCTCAGAACACGTGTACATCTCCTTTATATAGAGGGCAACACCTCATTTTTCCCCCTGCCTGTCCTTCCTGAAGAAGCAAGTGTGTGAACTATCCTACCACATCTCCATAACCCCAATTACATCTTAATTCTGTGATTTGTACTAGGACCTTCAGTTCTTGTTTGTTTTTTCTCCAAGCTTCTTGTATGAGTATTTCAAGTATCTAACTGATTGTTCTACTTGCTCTCTGAGAACATTCCTGCACCTAATGCTATTGCCTCCGCTTGCTAGGTTTTTATAAGTTCCCCATCTCTTTCTTCTGTGCTTTTCTCTCCATCCCCTGGTGAATATAATTGAAAGCCCTCCTTGTTGGTTAGTGAACCTTGACACACAGATACACTGTCTCCTCTTCATCAGATGCAAGCTCTCTGCTCTCAAGGGCTCAGTATTTGAATGCCTATTCAGGCATTCATGCTTTGTACCCATTCTGTTTACAGGCATCACTTAGATTGCTGTAATTAAATGGTTAGGAAAAAAATCTCTATTGTCCTAGTCTACCCTTCTCTATATTTCTATTTCCCAGGAATAGCATCAAGTCTTGGTTGCTATAGAATTCAGGCATGTTTATCTAATAAAGTCTTAACAACCATGAAAACTTAGATTTAACTGCTTTTATCAAAATACACCTTTAAAAATCCAAGTTCTTTTCTCTATTTTATTTGAATTACTAACTGGAAAAAATAATTCTGGGTTGAACTAAGCATTGTGCAGGCAGGTGCCATGCAAACTTTCCATGCAGTTCTGCTACTGTGCAGTAATACGGTGTGCTAATTTGGAGTGTTTTAGATGGACTAAAGGGAGATCATAATCCGTTTACTCATGACCTATTGTACATTTCCTTTTAAACTGTCCACACAGGAAAAAAACTAGTCAACTTAAACATTGTATATTGGGGTTGCTTCTATTTCATACTTGGCATCTAGGAAATTTATTGCATAAGGTTAATCTGTGTATGCACAACCAAACATGTTTTAACTTCTGGTTTTACAGTTAACGGGCAGCCAAGACCTCTAGAATCCAGTCAAGTGAAATATCTTCGTCGAGAGCTGATAGAGCTTCGTAATAAAGTGAATCGCTTGCTGGACTGTTTAGAACCACCTGTTGAACCTGGGCTTTCTACCAGCCTGCCTGAAAATGGTAGGTTGGTCACCTGTTCTCTCAAAACATTGCAGGAATTGATTTGCCTTAAACTTTCTGCACTCCTCTATACAACAAAAACTCAACTCATACCTCCTGTTTCTATTAAGTCTGTAGACGGTTCATCACTTCCTGCTTCAGAAACTTAAATTGCTAATGTTCTTGAGGTAATACTTACAAACTGTTCCTGGTTGAGAGCATTAGATAAATTTGGTGTAAAAAAATTAAGAAACATTGACTGCTTTGTTTCCAACTTTGAAGCTGTAGAGTATTAACTTTTTTAAAGTGCTCTTGAAAATATTAGATCCTCTAAATGCTCCTGTGTGCGAGGTTCATTAGAAGTATGTTTATTTACAGGTATGGGATGGCATTGGAAGGGTAATGATTTTGTCCAAGATCATTCAGTGAATTATTGTTTTGAACTCGGGAATCTAGCTCATAGTCTTTTGCCTGGTTCTTTAGAGACAACACTACTTCCTGATAGCCTAATGATACACTGTTCCTTAGATGTAAAACATGAAACACAAATTGATGTATAAGTAAGTAGTAATAAAGGTGCATTTCCTTCCTGAGCATAATAACCAGCTGGGATGTGGTCAGCCTAGTCTTAAATGTAAACATCTTATTCCAGCCATCTGGAAATTCCTAGAAAAGGATTTGCTCCCAAATAGTTGTGCTGTTAGTTGAAAGCAGAGTGATATGTCTGATAAATACACAAGCTCTCTGTATGTGGTATAGTTTAAATTTGATAAGTACAGTCTTGTCATCCTGGCTGAACTGTCTTTTGGGGTAATAAAATGATGAAAGGCCTGAAAATAATAGGAAATTACTATGCATTTTGTCAATATTATAGTGAAAGAATCTGGAGCTGTTCTCTTGCCAAATTTTGGATTCTCTATACATGTCTTGTGCCTGGACAGTTTAGGCCGGGGTGCTCAAATATGGCCTGTGGGGCTCTCCATGAGGTGGGAAATTTGGTGGCACAAGAGCAGTGTCCATTAATATGCTTGCCTTCTCTCCTTCCCCCCCCCCCCCCCTCTAAATTCCCAACCCCCACATTACCAGTTGCACCCCCCCCCTCCCCCCCCCCCCCCGTCTAAATTCCCAAGCCCCACATTACCAGTTGCAGCCAGCCCATGCCTCCCTCCATGCATCTGGATCAGGGCTGGGCCATACTTCCTTCTCTCCCACCCAAGAGGCCAAGCCATGGCCCCTTTCCCCCTCAGCCTAGCCGCAACCCAGCCCAGACTCGAGAGCCCCCCTCTGCATGTCCTTATGGTGGCAGTCCTGGTGCTGGATCAGGACCACCAGTGGGGTCCAACCCACTCCGGGGTATGGGGGAAAGGTTGAGCACCCCTGGCTTAGGAAATCAGCTTGCTGTTTGTAGTAGGGGATGGATATTCTAGAACTTCATTTTTAAGTAACCTTCTATTCCATGACAATTGAGTTAAGACTGAACACTCGTACTGAACACTACAGTGGTTATAGAAACAGATGAGTCTCCAGCTATTTTTTTACATCAATTTGCAAAAACTGTGCATGCAGAGAATACATTTCCAGTAATCCATTTACATTCATAATAGTGAGAGATTTTTTTACTAACTGCCAGTATTTAATAGCAAGGCAATTGTTTGTCCTATAGATGCTGTGGATGGTAGGGAAGAAAAACCTGCTGCTACTGACTCTGTCAAGCCATCTACTCAAGTCATAGCAGCTAGTATGTCTGCTTTTGATCCATTAAAAAACCAAGATGAAATCAGCAAAAATGTCATGTCAGCTTTTGGGTTGACAGAGGAGCAGGTGTCAGGTAAGAATACATATTTTATTGAAAATAGAGTGAAAATTTTACAATGACAGTTTTAAGAATGTTTCTGTAGCTGAACTTAATGACTTCATATAGCAAATATATATTGCACCATGACTACTTAGTTAGGGAGAGAGCAAAAAAAAGTTTACAGTAGTTCAAACTAAAGTAAAAGGCTTGCTATTGTTTTGATGCTTCTGTATCTGGGTGCAGTTTCACTAAAATTTGAATGCTTGCACCTGTTGTGGTCCCAGTTTGGTTTTTCGTGTTTAAGAGTTCAATCTACAGATTTTACCCTTAACAGTCTACTTGAATATTTTTTTGCAAGACATTTCACTTTCTAGTCTGAATTGAATTTTCATTGTGCACTTTAGTTTATACTGAGCTTCTAGTCAGCTACTTTGTTTTCAGGTTTCCATGCAAGAGCATAAAGCTGCAGTTTCTGGGTTGAAATATTAGACTGGATAGAAACTAAAGATACATTCTCCATTGCTGTCTTACAAAAACACTTCAAGCAATTTAAACCTTAACATTTCCATCTGCTCTAAAATTTATGTAAAAGACTCTGTGACAGGGGCCATCCCAGGGCTGGGTCTCACGTTGGCCAGCCCACCTGTCTAAGTATGGTAGTCTGCCCAGTCTCACCTGTCATGACTTGCTGGTTAAGTAAACTGGTGGAAAATGTGGGAGGCTGCCCATTTTAATGTCTCAATGCAACGGGGTGCTATCCACAGCTCTGTACTGCCTCTACACCATGGCCCATGCCTCACAGATGGCATCCAGAATCTTATTCTATTCCTGGCCTAAAGCTAGACCAACTTTAGTCTGCTGTCAGGCCTCTTGCATATTGCTCTGTTTTGAGCCTCACACATACCACCCCCCTCTCCTTGGGGCCTCTTGCACTTTGCTGGGCCTCTTTCACACTGCACTCTACTGGGCCCCCTTTGCTCTGCCCCATTTCTCTAAGCAGCTCCCACAGGCCATCAGCTTTATCAGTGTCACTCCTTGACTGGCTGACATGCAGCCCTTTTGGGCCTCTCCTGTGGCCCTCATCTGGGCAGTGACCAGCCAGTTTACCAGACATTGGGCTAACTTTGCCCTAGCCCTTTACTGGGTACTTCTACACATACAAACACACTCCTGTGGGGTTGGCCCATGTGCTGCCTTTCTGGCAGTCCTTCAGCCCTACTTAACACACACCCTGGTGCTGCCCTTCAGACCAGCCTTCAGCCCTACTCATCACCTTTCTTATGCACAGTCCTTCGGTTCGTAAAGACGCTTCCTACTCTGTGCGGGCCTACCAAATATCTTACTGCCCTTCTCTGGGGCCACTCTCTTGCCTTGTCCCTTGGGGGTATCTGGGATCTTGCACCCCCCTGGGCTCGGGTGTCTGGAAGTGCCTGACACCACTATCTGCTGCTGGGTCTCCTGGGGTCTTCCACCCTCCATGGCTTAGGTGTCCAGAGACATGCCTGGCTCTAACCAACAATGCTGTGGGGGCTGGGGATATTAAGGCGCCCCTACTTGCCTTTCACTGGGGGAGGCTAGCGGTCCTGGGACTTGAATGACACTACCCTGCCACAAGCAGTCCCTCCAGGCCTCCCTACCCCAGCAGGGTGCAGTTTCAGGTCGTGCCCAGGACCAGGAACCTCCAGCCCTTTTACCTCCAGGATGTTGTGAGTAGCAGCTCAGCCGGGTGATGTTGCTTCCTCAGTTGCAAGCAGCAAACTGCTATCTCTGCGTGCCTTGCATAAGTTTGAAAATGGCCGCCTTAATCAAGCACCTGGCGGCTGCCTGCTACAGCTCTTAAAGCGGCAGGCACCAAAGGTGCACTGCCACAGACCCTTTACACAAAATAGCGTATACACAAAATATCTTAGTTGAGACTTGAGAGAAGATACCATGGAAACATCTTATGGTAACAACAGCTTCAGAGTTAGTACAGCTATCAGTGCAAATGTAAAATAGCACTATAAATGTTACATTTGATAGGTGTTTCAAACATGTCAAAGTGCTATTCCTGTGCACAGTGTCACCGTTCAAACCCCTAACTGAAAAATAAGATCACTTCCAACTATATTATTCATTTGAAATATAGGCACCATAGACGTATTGTCAGTGTATAGAATTTTTTTCCAACGCCACATTTATGTGGTTTCTCTGAACTCAGATGGCTTATCCTCTCCCATTTTCATTTTCAAAGTTGCAATAAAAACTTATTTCTGGCCTTCCTTGCATAAAATGTAATTTCACAAGTAAATATTTTTGCCAAATTTTCTCTAAACCTTATCTTCTTTGAGCTATGTTAGATTCGCCTTTAGAACTGTTATCCACTCCTCAAAATGCTTCATTAGCACTAAAGTCCTCCAGTAAAGAAGTGAAAGGAATTTTCTTAAGAATCCCATACAAAGTAAAAAGAGTAGAAGCACCAACTATGTTCATTTTTGGCTGCCAAAGAACTATGGTGTTTCTTAAAAAGTAGAGTGTGCTGCAATCAACAGATATATTACAACAGTAGCCTTGATGCTGACATCCAGCAGCCCCCTCCCTCCCCCCCTCCACTTCCACGTGGCCTGAATCAGGGCTGGGCCTCCTCTGCCCCCTGTCCCCCATGACTGGATCAGGGCCAGGCCATTTTCCCCCCTCTCACCCTATGCAGCTGAATCAGGGCTGTGCCATGCCCCCCTCCTGTAGGGCCTGCTCAGGGCTTGGCTGCTCTCCACACCTTCTTCCCTTGCCTCCCCCACCCCACCCATGATGCCTTGCATGCTTGATCGTGCCCACCACCAGGCTCTAGCCGAATAGCATCCAGTCCAAAGGGGAAAAAGGTTGGGCCCCACTGTACTTGGCTGTTAGAACAATGCCCTGCAGTTTTAATTTAGTAGTCATACAAAAGTATATTTTGGAAATAGTAGCTGTGTAATCTATCCACATATCTGTTGCACATTATTTGCAAAGCTTTGTTTTATGAACATCCTGTATAACTAAATTGTTCACTTACTCAAATGAGCAGTCTTGCAAATCAGTAGACTAAATATTCCATGGGACAGATTCCTAATAGCATTATAAAATATTAATTTTGAAATACTTTGATAAGTCTTTTAAAAAAAAAAAATGTTAAGGTATTACACCTGAATGGCTGTTACTGCTTTTAAAATTTCCTCTAGCTTCTAAATAGCTTTTCTCAAAAAATTATTAGACACTTGAAGAGAGTGGGAGGATGAAAGCAAATGTTCTTTATAGAGATAGTTAAACAGAATCCTATTTTCAGAGCTTTGTTGATTCAGCTACATGAACAAGGAATGGATACATTTGTTTTGAATCCCTAAAACAAGGGAACAGATTTAAAAAGAAAAATGCATGTATCAATTGATGTATAATGTTTGCATTACAAGTTTAAAATTACAGATGTTTACAGTTTTAGGTCCCATACCCACGGTTGTTTGTACATCTGTAAGCTCTTGAGGTCACTAGAACTGCCCATATGCATATATGTTAGTAGGGTTGAGGCTTCAGGTTCCTTGTCATGGATCAAAACAAACTTTTTTTTTTCTTTTTCAAATGGGTATTCCATACCTTTTTTGCAAATTTAAAAACAAAATTCATGAAGTGCTATTGTGCCCTCTTCTCAGTGTTAAAGAGAAGTGGGAATAATTTTCATGGCAAGTAACTTTTCAAACTAAAACTTCCCATATCCTGGCTGAAAGGGGAAATCTGAAGAATTAAGGCGGGGGGGAGAAATAATACTCTTCTCAGTATTATTTGTCTGCTTACCAGTAAAATAAATTACTTGCTTAGGACACTGGGAAATCACCATAGTAGATACTCTCCAAGTAAGTGTGGAAATTCAAGGGGTTTTTTTTATAATTGTTTTTAAATTGGGTTTAGTATGAGAGGGCATTTTTATATATGCTCTGCTGTGGCTTTGGGCGGCTTTAATTAGAACAGCTCCAAGAGCCGCTGTACTTAAAGCACCCACAGCATCTTGTGTATCAGTGTCCCTGCACTTCAAAATTGTGACATGGCCACTTTCATTAAAGCTCATCATATGAGCTTTAGTTACATTGCCCCCCTCTGCCATTTTGAAGTGTAAGGATGCTGATACATGAGACATGGAGGCTGCTAGAGTACGCTAATTAGCACATTCCAGCAAACTCAATTAATCGAGTCTGTTTCAATGCATTGTAATTACAGTGCGTTGGCCTAGGCTCCTCATGTGTCTGCAGACACCCTTAAATCTTAACCTTTTTCAAATGTAAAGCTATGCAAAGCTGAACAAAGTCCTTTTTTTTCCTAGAAAGAATTTATATTAATTCTGGATTAAATTTATCTTCAGTCTGTGCCCTTTTCCTGTGTAGTCATTTTTTTTTTTTTTTTTCCCCTTGCATTCCCTAGGACCACCCAGTGCCCCAGTCGAAGAACGTTCAGGGACACCAGATAGCATTGCTTCCTCCTCTTCTGCAGCCCATCCACCTGGTGTTCAGCCACAGCAGCCATCCTATGCAGGAACTCAGCCTCAAACTGGTCAAATGGAAGGTGAGCAGCATGCTTTTCCTGTCTTACAATGTGAAAATTGCCATTTTCAGACTCTGGGTAGTTTAGAGGTTTGTCACATTTTTCATTAAAAGATTATATTGTAACTTCAAGTGGTACTCTTAGTACCCCACACAACACGAAATTAGCTAAAGTGATCATCAGAACCCAAAGGTCACAACTGCCCTGCTCTGAATTCTTTTTTAATCTTCTCTGTTAAAACACTAGGTGGTGCAGTAGCTTTGTCTTTTATTTTGAAGTCAGGTCATACTACACATTAAAAAGAAAGGAATATTTTTTTGCAGTATTGTGGTAACTGATAAAGCTAATGCAGATATGACTCAGAGTTTAAAAATTACCAAACTTTGCCATTAATGTGGCTCAGAAGTCCTAACATGTTGTTCTAATCACTGGGTGAAGCAGTAATTGAAGTCCCTTGCGGTTTTGCAACAAATGCAGAAGGATTTCCTGCATTAGTAGGAGTGTTGCCAGCAGACTGAGGGAAGTACAGGCAACCCTAGCCATTCGTGGGGAATATGTTCTCATATCCCCCATGAATGGCAAAATCCGCGAATAAGGCACTGTGTTCATGAACACAGTGCCCCCAGGTGACTGGGGGTTGGTGGGGGCACGGGAGCGTGGCAGTGGGAGCCCAGTGCCAGCAAGTACGGAGCTCCCAAGGAGCTCTGGTAAGTGCTTAAAGTGCATTTAAAATGCAGGTTTGGCATTTGTGAATATTTGAAACTGCAAAAGCCGAACCCATGAATAATGAGGGTTTCCTGTAGTTATTTCCCTCTTCTGCACTAGTGAGACCACATCTGGAGTACTATGTCCAGATTTGGGCCCCCGACTACAGAAAGGATGTGGACAAGCTGGAGAGGGTAGGGGGCTGTGGCGTATGATGTATGAGAGGCTGAAGGAACTGGGCTTATTTAGTCTGCAGAAGAGAAGACGTAAGGAGGGATTTGATAGCGGGCTTAAACTACTTGAAGTGGGCTTCCAAAAAGGATGGAGCTAAACTGTTCTCAGTGGTAACAGATGACAGAACAAGGAGCAATGGTCTCAAGTTGCAGCAAGGGAGGTTTAGGTTGGATATTAGGAAAAACTTTCTCACTAGGAGGGTGGTGAAACACTGGAACAGGTTGCCTAGAGAGGTGGTAAAATCTCCATCCTTGGAGGGTTTTTTAAGGCCTGGCTAAACTAAGCCTTGGCTGGAATGATCTAGTTGGGGATGGTCTTGCTTTGAGCAGGGGGTTGGACTAGATGCCTCCTGAGGTCCCTTCAAACCCTAATTTTCTATGACTCTGTTTAAACTGTTAGCCTGTGCATTTAAAGCGAGCCAATTAAATGCTGCTTGCTGATTTGTATTTACTGTGTCATTTAGAGGATCAAGTAATTGGTTCTTGTTAGTCTGTTCAGCAGTGTGGATCAGCTCAGCTTTTTAATGCTTTCATACTCTGTATAATACTAATATTGCTCTGTCCCAGCAAGATTACTTGGTTTTATACTGTGCTGCCCCTACCCTGGGGTCCTCTGTTCACCCCTATACTCTTGATACCTTCAACATCATCCTGCTTGGTGCTGCCCCCACTGTAACCTACCTCACAATTGTAACCCTGCTGACCCTACTTCCCAGGTACCAGCACAGACCATCACCCACTGCCTCTTCTCCCAGCTTACAGCTGTGTCCAGGCTGCACCACACCTCTCCCTGTACCTTTGGGGTAAATGGCTGTTAGAAGCAGGGGACAGCCAAAGGGATGGAGCAGCAGCACCTGGCCGGGGATGAGAAGGGGCTAAACGGGCTCCAGTGAGTCACAAAGCCCTAGAGAGTTCCCTGCAGGGTGTTGTGCTCCTACTCAGACACCAGGTGGCGCTGCTGTGTTTTGACTGTCCATCCAGCTCATTGTTGCCTCACTTTTTTACAGATGTCTTCAGTTTGTTCATGGTCTGTAGGGACACACGTTTTTTGCTCTATTTTTACAGGCTGTTTGTAAATCTACAGACAATTGGCAATCCTGCCCTTGATTTCTAAATATGCACTTGCCTGAAGTCTCCATTATATTGGATGATACACTTCTGCATTGTCCCTGAGCTGTCAGACAAGCTTGCTGTTCTTTCCAATGGAATTCTCTCCCTGCTGTGGAGAGACCTGTTCTGTTGCATTTTAAAACATAGCTTTTAATTTTTACGTTTCCTTGTCTTAATTTGATATTTTACCTGTGCCAAAGTGATTAGATTTAGAGGCAGAATTTCATTCCTCTTTCTTCCTACTATGTGTATAACAATCTACGGATGAATGCTCAAATAGCTTAGTGTAGCAAACATTAAAGTGGAGAGCATAACCGCATTATCATCTAACTAGCCAGAAGGAAGTTAGGACTGAAATATGTAAGTTAGAACCAACAGGAAGAAGGGTGATTGCGCCCAAAAGCTTGCTAAGAACTTTTTTTCCAACTACTCAGATCACATCTACTCAAAAAGCCTTGCCAAACAACAAGAAAGTCTAATGTAAAATTTGAGACTGATAAGGGCTGAGCACCCATGATATAACTGAAAAGCATCAAGTCATCTGTGGAATGTAATTAATGTAACAAAGTGCAGGCATTTAAGCAAGCTAAAAATTAGACTTTGAATTGGACTAACTAAACATTTTAAGATCAGACGTCTGAGATGCATTGCTTTCAGCCCTGTTCTTTTCTCTGAAAATTGTGGCTGCCTTTTTATAACTGCACTACTAGAAGTGTGACACTTTTTTATATCTTCTCTCTTTTTTTTTTTTTATGAAAGTAAAACAATGCATAAAATGCTTAGAGGTTTTAAATATAATTTAGATTTTGTACCTCTTGGCTCCCAACACTTTTGCTGCAGATGCTTTTGGAAATTTGTGTAGAGGTCTTTCTTTGGCAGCCAGAAAATGTAGCTGTAAAATAAGCATTCTAATTTTTGGCTGCTGACTGCTTTTTTTTAGTATCTCTATGGGAAAGGAGGTCAAATTGACAAAAATAAGGTCTAAGCAGTAAAAGATTGACTGTTGTAATAAATAAGAGGTAAAAGGGTTTTACAGTGCTCTGGAACTTGAATCACTTACTAATGTGAAATGAAAGAAAAATCACTGCAGCATGTTAAAAGCAGAAGAAACTTAAACGCTGCATCAAAGCTGCTGGGTTTTCCCAATAAAAAGACATAGTCATTAAAATACAGACATGGTCTCCCACGGCCCGGGCACCCTGGGCCTGTCCACCCCTCACCTACTGTCAGGGGTGCCAGATGGAATGAATGCATGGGCAGGGTCTCCATGGAGACCAGCCTGGTATCCCTGTGGGCAGGGTGTGCTCAGCTGGGCAGATGGGATGGGGCTGTGGGTGGGCGGGATGCAGCAGCTGGGAACAGGATGGGTAGGGCCAGGGCTGGGATTGCAGGATGGTGCTGGAAGCATGCAGGGAGTGTATCGCAGTTTGGCCCCGGCCTCACCCACTCATCCTGCTCCCAGATGTTGCTCCCTTCCCGCCCATAGGCCCCATTCCATGCACTTGGCCAAGCATGCCCAACCCAGAGGGGTCCGAGGCTGGTCTCTGTGGAGATCCCTTCTGCCTGCTCTGTCTGGTGCCCCCAGCAGTGGATTCAAGGTGGACAGGCCCAGGGCCAGATGAGATAAATTGGCATCTTCTCATGTTTCTCTCTCACCCCCAGTGCTTCCCCATCCCCCCATGTTCCCACTTCAGAGATGCAAATGTTTTTGACATCACAATTTGTGATATGTTAAACCTTTAGTATACGAGTCAATAATGCAGAAGGTAGGGTAGAGGTACACCTTATAGACCAGGAGTGGGCAATTTTTTCAGGCAGAGGGCTGCTTACTGAGTTTTTGGCAAGCCATCGAGGGCCACATGACAGGCAGCCAGGGGAAGAGAACTGTTAATTTTCTAAATGTTTTAGGGGCCTCGCAGGCCAGATACAATGGCCTGGCAGGCCGCATCCAGCCCACGGGCTGCATTTTGCCCACACCTGTTATAGACTAACTTAGGGGTAGCCAACATTTTTTGCCAGAGTGCCAAAAAAACTGCAGCGTCTACCTTGGAAGGTGCCAGAGTGCCAGCATGCCAGAAAAACAAAACCAGGGCATGGGGTACATGGCAGGATACACTGCATATTAATATAGTTAATAATCATAAATATTGTGTGTGGTTTTTTGGGTATTTTTTTTACAGTAAATACTAGGTTTTCTAAAAATTCTAAACCGAGTGACAATAAATAAAACTTCATGTACTACTTTTGTATGGCTTATAACTGTAAAATTTTTCCTGAAGTTGATGCAAACTAAAGGCAGGACAAACAATGTAAACAGGCAAACAACAGAAAATCAGAAAGGATTGAACTATTTGAAGTGAGTATAATTCTGGGTAGGTATTTCCAAGGAGGCAATTGGAGAGCAGAAAAACGGACAAAAAAGCGAGCGATATGAAATGTCTAAATCTAAGAATGCAGAATAGTGAGATCAAAATAAATTCTATATGAACTGTTTTAAGAAAGTTTTTCCTCTCTCTCAAACCGATTCATGTTATTCAGTTTTTTACTGAGTACAAAATAATTTAACAAAGCAAAATAAACTGAGTAATATGCAATGTTAAACTCTCAGTTTGCAAAGCACAGAAATTAGCACTAGCACCAACAGGCTACTGAGCTATCTGCCCCCCAGAGCCATGTGCTTCCCTCATATATACACAGGGGGAGGGTTTTCCAGTGTCTGTGGCAGAGCTGCCCACTTCACAAAGGTTCATAAAAGCTCCCAGTGCCACAGCAGGCGCCAGGGCCAGGGTCAGAAGAACACAGGCAGGGCGCAGTCTGTGTTCTGCTGAGCCTGCCCTCAGTGCCTGTGGCCAAGTTTGGGAAGCTTTGTGAAGTTTTCAGTACCACCACTGACGCAGTCGGTCAGCAGAACACAGACAGCATCCCTGCTTCCCTGCCTGCACTCCCCTGCCCCTGCCCCGGTACCTGCTGAGGTGCTGGGAGCTATGGCTGCTCCAGAGAGCTCAAAGCAGCAACTTTAGAAATACCCACTTTTTTTTTTTTTAAAAGTTTTCTTTGGCACACCGAGGAATGTCGGCATGCTGAGGAATTCCTTGGCATGCCAAGGAAAATGTCTCCACGTGCCACTAATTGGCATGCGTACTAGGGTCGTCTGTTCCTGGACCAACTGAATCAGAGAAACATAATCTTTTTGTGAGCAGGAGCTCACTTCATCGGACAGTGTCTTCAGACTAACACAGCTACCTATCATTCAGCCAATAGTGTAGTAACTGCTGTATCATTAAACAGCATGAGATTTTACTATTAGATGCTTGTAGACCTGATGGAATTGGAATAATGAGTATTACTGATAATTTCACTTACAAAGGCCTGTATAAAATTGTATGGATTTGCTGTTGGCGAGAGCGGAAGAAACTCGCAGCAGATTCATGTAATTTTAAATCTCGACCCAATCTCACCCTTTTCCATAGCTAAGAAGGCACAGTGAGAATTTGCTTCTTTTAAAAAGTATTTTCCTGATATTTATAACAGCAGTGAAAGGACAGCAGCACTTTACTTTCATAATGCAGTTGGCCACAGATGAGCCAGACATTAGGTTTGGCAGCCGTGACTTTGTTTATTCTTTGGATAGTGTTTGTACAGTGGAAGACAGACTTGAAAAGTAGAAGCATCAAGCCTAATGGGGCACACAACAAAAGCAGAATAAGTGCTCAATAACAAATAAAAAGAAATAGACATTTAAAATGTAAAGCTAACCTAAGAAAAACAGTAAAATCTTGAATTTAGGACTTAAAATGGAGCTCCTGAATTTGAGTGTCTACTTTTCTTTTGTAAGGGCGTGTGCTCCTGGGCTTCTTGGCAAACTTTTCTTATAACAAGCCAAGCATGCTTAAGAGATGTCTGGAAAATGAGGTTAGAATGAATAATGTACCACTCTACTTAATATATTAAGCACAGAAAAAAATGTAGACATCCAGTGCAGACAGACGAGGAGTGGACATGTTTGCCTTTCAAGTACTTCTTTTTATACTACAGGTTTTGAAACAGTTATAAAAAGGTATTTTTGGTTTCTTGTTTGTTCTGTTTACACCCTGCAGTGGTATTTACAATTAAGGTAAGTACCTTCTGGGATATTCTCTGAAAAAATGAAAGGGCAACAGTTCTTGAGTGAAGTTCTTCACTCCTTCAGCCTGCAAACAGTATTCCAAAAGCAAACACTACTTTTTGATTTTTCAAACATAATTGAAAGAGACCATGAGCTGGTACTCAAACTAGTGTTAATTGACACAGACAAAGTAACTGCCCTAGCATCCAGGAAGTCTCCAAAGCCCACACTGCTATAAGAAAAAGCTGTGTTAAACAGGATGTTGCAGAAGGTTAAATGAACTTCAATTCCATTTGCTCCTTTTATCAGACAGAAAGGTCTTTCAGTGAGAACATCTTGTAACTAACCCCCAGGTAGAGATATTCTGCCATATGTTTTGTTGATAGGTTTTTAAAGATGTAAGAGGGAATGACCATCTTGTGGGGCATAAATTACTGGTCTGTCCTCCAGCCTTGCTTTTTTAAGGATGTAGGTCATACTTTGAACTTCAGCTAACAACATTTTTAATTCATAGGCCAGATGTATCAGCAATACCAACAGGGTGGTTATCCTGCTCAGCAGCCACAGGCTCAGCCTCCGCAGCAGTATAATATGCAGTATCCAGGTAAGTAGCTGACCGCAATCTCAGATTGTTCTGTATGTATGGAATGAGGTTTTTCTTAGTGCCTAATATTAGCTTCAGTTCTTCTGTACTTGTTTGGCCACCCAATGTGCTGAGCACCTTTAACTTCCATTGACCTTCCACTTCCTTTTAAAAGATGTTGCCCTTAATTCATCACTATGCATGTCCCAGTCATAACTGCATGTGCAATTTATGGAGATTGAGCCTTAGAAGACAGTCGAACTGAAATGCTAATTACAGAACGCTTTGCATGGTCACCTAACAGAATGCATTGCTATAAAGGAAGACAAAATAAATCAGCAATTGAAAGAACCATATATGGGGAAGGGGAAATCTTCTAAAAGCAAGTATTAAATCAGCTTGGGGGATGGAAAATGAAGATTAGTTCTTTCCTGCCTTTAGCAAGTGATTAGAACTTCTCACCTGCCCAGTAAATTGTAGGCAAAGGCCCCAAATCTCTCTACGTTAATCTGACTTACATAGTGAGACTTTTCCATTAGCTTACATTTGGCTTAAACACTGGAATGTTCCTCAGATAACTCTTTGTAGCTAAAATGTAGTCCCTAAAGAAACTGATGTCAGAGGCTGCTTTTGGAGAGTTGTAGGAATCAACTTGAGTGACAGCTCTCTCTCTTTCTTGAGTATCTATCTGACAGCAGAACTTTTAGTGTTTAAGCCAA